TACTGACTAAAAACCACCCCGTTCCTTCTCCTGCACGTCGAGCCAGAGCCCCGGTTACCCGTTAGGTTCTCCGCGACACTGTCATAGGTATAGGCCGCATGTAGGGTACGCCGTTGAGTTGATCACGTTCATCGCGTTCGCAGGACACCGCATAAACTAAAATAAAGTAATGAATTCGCTATCTATTCGTGTCTAACTAGGTGTTTTAATTTTCGCCCAAATAACCACAAAATTGTGCCCAAGGTCGATTTGCAAACAGTGTCAATGTTACAAGTCCAGTGGCCCAGAATAGCGATCAGCTGATAAAAACTATTGTTTCATATTAAACCATTAATATTCACGCTCTAGAGACTATTTAGGATTCTACCTACGTAGCGTATAAACAGCATATCATCAAGGTACTAATAGTTATTCATATTTCCACGCTGCTCGGCTCCTATTGATCGTAGCGTGATGTTTCATAGCCTACAGCGTTCCTCAAAACATGGACTATCGAACACAAAAATAATTTTCATCAACAGCCTATAAGCTCAGTGCTGAGCAAAGCCTCTTCTCACACGGAGAAGGTTTGAGCATTAATCACCACGCTTCCTCAATGCGGGTTGGCGACTTCAAACTTATAATTAGAAATTATAAGCCCAGGTTTCCTCACGATGTTTTCCTTTACCGTTTGTCAGTGGTGTCTAAATAATCTTAGAAAGTACATATAACTCGGAAAAAGTCACATTGGTACTTGCCGTTGGTAGGTTTCGAGCCTGCACCCTCGTGCATGAGAAGCAGGTGTTTCAAACCTCCGGGCGACTACGACACCACGACAAAAGAATTTTAAACCAGTGCAATTGATAGATCAAATCTTTCCTCTTTATAATATTAGTGTAGATGTCCGCAAATTTGTTTATTTAGTCAATACGTGACTTATTTATTTAACGTGTTTCTATTAATAACATAACATATATATTTGTTTTCATGTATTTTGGCACAAACTTGAACTTCCTCAAAACCTACTTATTTTTAATCTTCTAAAGTTTTTACTAACATAACATCACGCCTTTTATCCCCGTACGCGAAGGTAAAGGTACACATTACGGCATTTAATGCCACTGTACAATGTAACACCCACTTTTCACTATTTATGTTATGAGTCCCATGTAATAAGGGGTGAGCCTATTGCCATATACCGGGCACAATTCCAGACTCCGTGCCAACGAGGCAGTCATCTATCTTCTTACTCATATAATCCTTACTAATATTATAAACCAGAAAGTGAGTTTGTTTGTTTGTTCCGCTTTCACGCCGTAACTACTAAACCGATTGCTTTGAATTTTTGCAGATGTATAGTTAGAAGTCCGGATTAAATAATAGGGTACTTTTTATCCCGGAAAAATTTGATATTCCCGAGCTAAAACCAAAGTATTGGTATAGATGGCGCTGTGTGTATTGGTATATGTCACATAGGCTACTTTTTATCCTTTTGTGACGCGAGCGAAGCCGCGGGTAAAAGCTAGTCCTATTATAAATGCGAAAGATTTAGTCTGTATGTTTGTAACTTAATCATGTCAAAATGGCTGAATGGTGCAAGGGGATGCAATTTGGTACAGGGGTAGACTATGATCTTTTTTAAGGGGGGAAAATCATCGAATGACTGCTCCCGCCTGGGTAAGGCGGGAGGGAGTGTCAGACTCTTACTGACTAAAAACCACCCCGTTCCTTCTCCTGCACTTCGAGCCGGAGCCCCGGTAACCCGTTAGGTTCTCCGCGGCTCCGTTTCGTCGTGTGAGTGAGGTTACCGGAGGCCCAATTACGCTTCCAATCTCCCCAATCCCTGAATCCCCAACAATTCTCAAATTCCTAATCCCCAAAAGGACGACAACGAACTTGTAACGCCTCTAGTGTTGCAGGTGTTTATAGGAGACGCCGATTGCTTACCATCAGGTGATCCGTCAGCTCGTTTACCGGCTAATCCGATAAAAAAAACAATCTTTGTTAGTTTATAATATAAAAAAAATAACTTCACTTTCATAACAAGAAGTTACGCTGTGAGACAATAAGGTTAATTTTAACTAATTAATTAAGTAAGTATCTACATTAACTGAGCACGCCATTAAGTTACGCAACTAAGTGAAAATTGTGAGAAATTTTCACTTAATTCTTATATTAACTAAGTAGGTAATAATGACATTACTTTAATTGTATATTGCCTCGTTGGCCGAGTGGTCGCAAGTGCGACTGCCGGGCAAGGGGTCTCGGGTTCGATTCCCGGGTCGGGCAAAGTACAATGTAACACCCACTTTTCACTATTTATGTTATAAGTTCCATTATCATAGGGGGTGAGCCTATTGCTTTATACCGGGTACAATCCCAGATTCCGTGCTACTACTGAGATTTTTTTTAAAACCCACATGTACTTTGCTCGACCCAGGAATCGAACCCGAGACCCCTTACACGGCAGTCGCACTTGCGACCAATCGGCCAACGAGGCAGGTTTTATACCTTTTATAGTAGCCGCTAACAGAAGCTAGCGATTCCATGAAGTTGGGTACAATAGGGTAGATGCCTAATTTTTATTCCAATGTCCGTCTGGTAGATTATTTTAAATCATTACACACGTATTTTTTATTTTCTCACAGTAACGAATACTTTCGACGATATATTGATTTGAAATGTCGCGTGACGTCACTTCTATGTACATTTTATACGTAGAAATGACGTTTTAGCCCCCACTCCTAAACTTTGATTCGTTTTGTATTGTTTTATTATACGACAAAATAAAAAACATAAGTGTCTTATATTTTTTCATTACCTAACTTACGGACTGATAAGATTTTTAATTTTCATACCCTGTCATCATCCCAATTCCCTACTCAAATGTGATTACCAAGAAATTTGAAGGTAAATAACAAAATTCTGCTTTAGTCATATGAGTCATAGGAAAATCAGTGTTGTTATTACACAGCTGAGTTTATGTATATTCGTAATAAATAACATGATCTTAGTAATTCGCTATATGTACACAATTAAGTACATCTTAATCGCCGCTTGCTACTTCAACCGCGTAGAATATAAAAGACTAGCTTCTGCGAACAGATTTACCCGTGTCTCCCTCTTAAAAAATAGCTACAATTTTAGCCTATGTGTTATTCTAGACAATAATCTATCCTTGTTTCAAATTTCATCATGATCCCTACAGCCGTTTTGCCGTGATTCAGTAACAAACTTCGCATTTACAATATTAGCTACTCACGCACGGTTTTACACGCTGCTCGGCTCCTACTGACCGTAGCGTGATGTTTAAAAGCTTATAGTCTTTGTCAATAAATGGGCTATCCAACACAAAAAGAATTATTCAAATCGGACCAGTAGTTCCATAGATAAGCGCGTTCAAACAAACACATTAACATAGACTTGATTTTAGTCAAAGCAAGTTTGTTATATCTCTGTATACCTGTTTGTGTAAATGAAGGCGTGTTATGTTATATAGTTAACTAACTCCGTTGTCCGTCTGTTAGCCTTTTACTTCGTTGAACACGTTTTAACGGAAATTATAAAATAACTGGGTCATTGCTTGCTTGGTTCGATTCCTGGCGTTGTACGTGATATATTTGATATGTCTACTTTTAGTTTATTATAATAGTATATTTGAAAACAAAACATAATATCACGGCTTTTATCCAGAGGGAAAGGCAGCGGTGCACATTACGGCACTAAATGCCACTTGGTTTTCAAAGACTACTTCGCTGGTAGTCTCGGGTTCCATTCCCGGGTCGGGCAAAGTATTACTGGGTTTTTAAAAATCTCAGTAGTAGCACGTAGTCTGGAATTGTGCCCGGTATATGGCAATAGGCTCACCCCCTATTACATGGGACTCATAACATAAATAGTGAAAAGTGGGTGTTACATTGTACAGTGGCATTAAGTGCCGTAATATGCCTTCGGGGATAAAAAGGCGTGAAGTTATGTTATGTTCAACTAAATACTAAAAAACAGGTTTTATTTAACGGTAGTAAACTACACAGATACAGGTTCGAAACCGGTTTACTTATAAATAAAATAAAATGGTTAAAAAGCACTAGTTTTTACCTAAAAAGATCCTATCTTTGGTAACTAAAGTAATATTTTCCTGAGTAAAATTGTAACGTTAACATCTCAGAAACTACTGAACTAATTTTGATAATGAATTCTTTTAAGTAAGTATAGGTCAGCATAAAATGAGTGTTTCTATAAAGTTACCACGTCTTTTGTTTCAAAAGCAGATAATGTTTAATTGCACATTTTTTCAAAATTCACTTTTCACTCAATAATAATATAATATGTCCAAAGTAACTCAAATTTCTATTAACAGACAATGGGCACGATTTCCTAAAAACAAAAAAAAAACATTTCAAAACCAAAATTTAAAAACTTCCAATCCGATTCAGGAATCAAACTTGCAACAAAACACAGCACCAACGGATTTTAAAAGAAAAAAATTCTTTAAACTGTCAAACACCAAGCGGTCACCGGTGACCGCGACCTATTGTTTTTTAATTGTGTCTATAAAACCGGTACTCGACGAGTTAAATTAAAAAAAAATTTAAAAATTGTCCAATATCCTACTCGAGAATAAAGATCGAAACCATACCACGCCATTACTCGACGAACACCCAAATTATACCATATTTAAACGTAGAATAAAATAATAAATTAGGCCTAAAATTACATTCTACAATCTAGACCAGACAGAGCAAGTCTAGAAATCTTACTTAGCCACCTGAACTGAATCTAGGTCAGCGTTAAACTATGAAGAAAAACGTCTTAACCGTAAATTGAACAAAACAAAGATACTTGAAACTCGCTAAAACATTGCATTTTAAACCGAATTTCATAATAAAACTATTAGATGTCAGAATAAAACAACCAATTTCACCACTTTACACAAAAATTCTATAAAATTTCACACAAATACCACTTTTTTTGGTATAAACCACTTTTTTTAAGTACAAATATTAAAAAAAAACACTCACTGATTTTTCTATTGCATTTGACATAGTCTATCATACGGCTGACAGATCTCATCGCCATTTTTAATAACGGAAAATTATTTGAAAACCGAATTTTCGTTCAAATAGTTTGAACGCGCATCACGCGACGCTGTTTCGAATGCGCAAGAGTGACTGAATCCGTTCGCTCGAAAACGTCGGCATTTTACGTTCAGAAAACATTAGATTTGTTATATTTTTTTTCGCCAACTTCTGTTCCGTTCCGGTGACCGCTTTACTGGACTGTATAGTGGTTGAGTAAAATCTCCGGCCGGGCGAAGTTGTATTGTGGTGTATTAGTGGTAGAAATGGTTGGGTGTGGAGTCTGGAATTGTTACCTTTTAGTAATGGCGTTGCCGTTTATTGCAATGAGAAGTAAAAAAATATGAGTGTTAAAAATTAAGAGCAAATCTATCGGAACATTTCTTTCTTTTTCTAAAAATCTCTTTTGTTACTGCCGATGCGCTAGGGGAGTTTAGGGAAGCGTTTGGACGAAATTTCCTATAATCATAACATAACATCACGCCTTTGATCCACGAAAGGGTAGGCAGAAGAGCACATTACGACACTTAATGCCACTGTACAATGTAACACCCACTTTTTGCTATATACCGGACACAATTCCAGACTCCGTGCTACCAGTGAGAAAAATCCAGTAATGCTTTGCCCGACTCGGGAATCGAACCCCTTGCCGGGCAGTCGCACTTGAGACACTCGGCCAATGAGGCAGTCCTATCATCATCATCACTGGTGAACATAGGTCATAAATGTAATACAAAACTGCAATAACACTTTAATAGGCCCTGGAATCACCCCAAAACGCCTTGCACAGCAAAAATACTTTCAACAGCCAATTCAAAAAACCAATCCCTATCACAATCCATTCAATATGCGTGTACGCAACCTTTACGATCACTTTACACGAATCACTAGGCTCTATTAGTACGTGTACAATACATAATTACACTTCGCTACCGTCGGGTATTGCATCAAAACATTGCACAACTCACCCTTGACGGAATTGCGTTATGAAATATACGTATAATTGAACGACGTCATGGTGGAACCAAGTATACTGGCTTATACACCATGTCCCAGTCAACAAGGATGTAGCGAGGTTGACTGTCCAGGCGACATACGTACTTAGGTATCTTCATGAGCTAATGTTCACATGTAAACAGCAGCTCATGTAGTGTAGATGTCCATGTCAACAAGGATGTAGCGAGGTTGACTGTCCAGGCGACACACGTACTTAGGTATTGTCATGAGCTAATGTTCACATGTATACAGCAGCTCATGTAGTGTAGATGTCCAGTCAACAAGGATGTAGCGAGGTTGACTGTCCAGGCGACACACGTACTTAGGTATCGTCATGAGCTAATGTTCACATGTAAACAGCAGCTCATGTAGTGTAGATGTCCAGTCAACAAGGATGTAGCGAGGTTGACTGTCCAGGCGACACACGTACTTAGGTATCGTCATGAGCTAATGTTCACATGTAAACAGCAGCTCATGTAGTGTAGATGTCCAGTCAACAAGGATGTAGCGAGGTTGACTGTCCAGGCGACACACGTACTTAGGTATCGTCATGAGCTAATGTTCACATGTAAACAGCAGCTCATGTAGTGTAGATGTCCAGTCAACAAGGATGTAGCGAGGTTGACTGTCCAGGCGACACACGTACTTGGACCTTCTTTATTTATCGTTTTAATTCTTGGAACATATCAGAGACAATATAGCATTGTCTTCAAAGTTTTGTTATGGTTTTAAGAATATAACAATAGGTTTAAGTTTGGATTACCGTCAATCTACCTATAAGGTATTATCACGTAATACTCTTCCTAAAATTAGATAGCCTTCCTGAAGCCCTGTGGTAACTACACTTGTAACCACCGCTACTCTTCAAGCGGGTGTGGTATACCCGACTAATGGACTACACATTAGATAGAGACCGTGCAGCAGCGCTCTCTGATAAACCTGAACCTTTTATACTGCGATCTCCAACCTGCTTGCGCAACTCGGATATGACAAACCCCTCTTATGTAGAGGAGGCTCATAGTCTAACAGTGACCTGTCAACTATGGTGAAACTCGACTATGAAATCTAATACATACATACATAACATCACGCCTTTTATCCCCAAAGGGGTAGGCAGAGGTGCACATTATGCCACTGTACACTGCAACACCCACTTTTCACTATTTATGTTATGAGCCTCATGTAATAGGGGGTGAGTCTATTGCCGTATACCGGGCACAATTCCAGACTCCGTGCTACTACTGAGAATTTTTTTAAAACCCAGAAATACTTTGCCCCACCCAGGGATCGAACCCGAGACCCCTTGCCCGGCAGTCGTACTTGCGACCTCTCGGCCAACGAGGCAGTCTAATATTTTATCTAATAATAAGTGAAATCTAATAATTTATGATTATAACAATTTCACCAAAATCTAATCTATGCTTTGCATAACAATCTTCACGCCTCATTCGTTCTGGGGTAGGTAGAGGTGTACGTTTCATCAGTGAGTTCCCAATCTATTTTAGTGGTTTAATAACAAAAAATGTCCACACGAAACAATTCTTATGACCTTTAGTTAAAAAAAAATTAAAAAACAATGCCAAAGAAACTGATGTCAAGGCTATAGTTCAGCTATGCGTAACTTCACGCCTGTTGAAAATAAAAGAAGTAGACAGAGATGCCACACTTAGGTACTTTTTGTTTGTCATTTATTCTAAGTAGATGACTGGACAGTTTGTTATGGTATAGAACGGGAAACGAGCAGACGTATCACCTGATGGTAAGCAATCGTCGGCCGTGGACACCTGGAACACCAGAGGCGTTACAAGTGCATTACCAATCATTTAGGGATTAAGAATTTGAAGATAGGGTAGTATCTGTACATTAATTTAAAACTTTAGACACGTATTTTTTCTTTTCTCACAAAATTGAATACTTTCGACGATATATTAATTTGAAATATCGTGTGACGTCACAGCGTGCCACATTATGTAGCACGTTATGACGTAACGACCTCCCACTCCTAAACTTTGTGCCATTTTATCTAAGTATTGCAACTTAATACGAGAAAATAAAAAAATACGTGTCTAATATTTTTTCATTATCTAACTGACGGATTAATTAGATTTTTAATTTCGATACCCTGGAAACTACCCAATTGTTGGGTATTCACACATGGCAACACCATAAGAGAAGTTACAAGTACGTTACAGGTCTTAGGTACTTGGGAATTGTAACTTAAAACCTAAAAGATAATTTAGGGACTCAATAACAATACCACAATAATTCATTTCTATCATAAAAACTGTAATGAATGCTTCAAATGAATACAATTAAATGTTTGCGTAGTTTAAATTAAATATTGAACTTAAACACATTGTCACATACAGGTGTTTTTAACCGAGAAAAATACACATATGAATGTCATGCTACCAACCGCGTGACGAAATAATGCTTGTATATAGATGAAAATGAAGAGGGCGAGCAAAGAAAAGCTGTATCAACTTTTTTTATTCCCCAATCTCACCAATCTCTGAATCTCCAACAATCTTTAAAATCCTAAACCCCAAAAGGCCGGTAACGCACTAGTAACGCCTCTAGTTTTGCGTATCCATGGGCGACGGCGATTGCTTACCATCAGGTGATCCGTCTGCTCGTTTACCGACTTATACCATAAAAAACCCGAGAGAGAATTTGATGAAATACCTATAGGAATAAGAGATAGAAGGATTTTAGACATAGATGAAGTTTATATTATAGCAGCGCGACTATCGCCGCGTCGCGGTTCGCGGAATGCTGCTCATGAATATGAGCCTCTAGTATGGCTCGAAACTAGTGACGTTCTTTGTAAAAGTAAGCTAAAAAACTTATTTTTTTTTATTTATAGCATAAGCCGGTAAACGAGCAGACGGATCACCTGATGGTAAGCTATCGGCGTTGCCCATGGACACCTGGAACACCAGACGCGTTTTACAAGTGCGTTGCCGGCCTTTTGGATATTGGGCATTTGAGTATTGTGGGGGATTCGGGGATTGGAGAGACTGAGGAAGGGTAATTGGGCCTCCGGTAACCTCACTCACACGACGAAACACAACGCAAGCATTGTTTTACGTTGGTTTTCTGTGCGGCCGTGGTATCACTCCGGTCGAGCCGGCCCATCCATGTCGAAGTATGGCTCTCCCACACTTACTATGGATTTATTCTACACTGTCACACAGATAATGGCAAATCCCTCTTTTATAAAGGAGGCTTATTGTACATCAGTGGACTGTCACTCGCTATTGATGTGTTTAACACGTCACCACGTTTACTTTCCTTCCACACATACATACAGATAGTAGAATGACATATACTTAGCACATAGTTTAAATGTTAATCAGCATTAAGTAAGACACAGCCTTGAGTCATAGCAGTTTATGACGAAAACACAGCACTTCTCTCCGCTTGGTCGGATAGCAAAACATTGCTTCGCTTATTTGTAAATAGACTCAAGAAATTCCATATACCTTCAGTACTTACATTTGCTAGCTTTTGCGTCGTAACTTCATCTGTTTTATGTGTGAGAGAGCCATGTTTCGTCACGAATGGGTTGGCTCGACCGGAGTGATACCACGGCCGAGCAGAAAACCATAGTGAAACAACCACAGCGTTGTATTTCGTCGTGTGAATGAGGTTATCGGAGGCCCAATTACTCTCTCCTCAGTCTCGCAAATCTCCGAATCCTCCACAATACCCAAATTCCCAATTCTCAAAAGGCTGGTAATGCACTTGTAACGCCTCTAGTGTTCCAGGTGTCCATGGGCGACGTCGATTGCTTACTATCAGGTGATATGTATGTCTGCTCGTTTACCGGCTTTGTCTTTTAGGTGGTAGAGATGCACACAACGCTGTGTCACGCCGGTGGTGAACAGTGAGGCTGTAGTATCACTCTGGTCGAGCTGATACAGTAGTGCCGAACTATTGGACGGAGACGGGCTGCTGATGATGATGATGAAGAAGTCAAAAGTCTTGAAAAATCAGAAGTCT